TGTAAGCAGACTCAACGAGAGGTAGGTGTCTCTCCTAACTTCCCTTAAAATCCATAATGCAAGCTTGAAGCATATCCTCCAAGGTTTGTATCATCGTTTCAGACTGCCCATCGATTTGTGGGTGAAATGTTGTGCTAAAGCATATGTTCGTTCCCATTACCTTCTGCAAGCTCTGCTAATATTGAGAAGTGAATCGAGGATCATGATCAGACACGATGCTAACTGGTACTCCGTGTAATCTTATCACTTCTTTGATAAACAATCTACTGAGTGAATCCAACGTATCTGATGACCCGACAGGTAAGAATCGGGCTGTCTTAGTTAATCAATCTACCACTACCCACACGCCGTCATGTCCCTGTGGTGACTGAGACAAACCCATCACGAAATCCATGATTATGTGTTCTCATTTCCACTTCGGGATTGGTAAGGGTTGAAGTGTTCTTGCCGGTCTTTGATGTTCAGCCTTTACTTGTTGACTTGTCAGGCACTGAGACACAAACTTCGCTACATCCGTTTTCATTCCACCCCACCAATATTGGCGGTTTTAGTCTTGGTACATCTTAGTACCTCCCGGATGTACTGCGAATGCTGAATAGTGGAATTCCTTGAGTACCTTTTCCCTTAGTGAGTTGTCGCTTAGCGCAAACATTCAACCTTGATATTTCAAACTTCCATCAGTGTGAATTTCCCAACCAGGCAGGGTTTCACTAGATTCCATTTCTGCCTTGATGAATTGTCACAACCCAAACCCGCCTCTATGGGTTTAGCGTCGTAACCAGCCAGCAATCCTTGGATTACCAAAGGCCTCTGAATAGGATAACATAAGATAGGGGCTGCGGAAGCAAATATGCAAAATTAATATAGTCCATAGAGTTGTGCAGACATACATGTGACATAAATTTTCAAAACAAACTTATATATATACAGATGTGACATAAAAAATACATTAGTCTTACGTCACCCAATTACATAGATAGGGTCAAAGGGGTACTTAGCCCAAGTACAGATATACAAAACAAGCTCAACTAAAGCCTTGACATAATCCTCTCAAAAGGAACCGCCTCAGGAGGCACGGTAGTTGGCTGACAAAACAAAAACATAGGCCGTCAACTCTAGGCCTGGTCACGTGCCTGCTCACCTACATACATAATATAAATAGTGAGCTGCAGCCTAGTGAATAATAACAGAGTAAAGCGGTTTAATGAATGTTGTCCATAACAGTTACAGAAAATAGAATTCAATAGTTGTCAGAAATGAATTTGTAATTATGTTCAGAAATCGTAGTACATAACAGATACAGTTTCAGAGTCGTATTGATAATTAGAACTTGCAGTTAATCATACGTGGCATATTCATTAGTACTAGCAGAAATAGTTGACCCATAGAGAGACGGCCATAAAGGCATACAGTTGACCCATAAAGGGACAGCCATAAAGGCATACAATTGACTCTCGTATACGGAGACGGTACAGTTGGCTCATAAGATGTACAGTTGGCCCATAAAGGGACGTATACATAAGGATGCATAATAGTTGGCTCATAAGACATACAGTTGACCCATATTCGGGACGTAACAGAACAGATAACAGATGTCATTTGAAGCTAAGAATGCCACGAATACATTTCAGAAACAATGGACAACCATTTATTCATATGCAGAAAATAATATAAATAGAAATAGATCATCTTATATCATTCAGAAAATAATTATACTTGAACATGGCTTTTACAAAGTTATTACTCACAGATAACAGAGGCTCCAAGGTAAACAGACAGAATAAGCAAATCAGATGTCTTGCGGCACGTCACCTACATAACATAACAGATACATACATTGAAACACACGCTCAGAGTGTACATAACTTCTCATTGTTCTTAGTGTGTTTCTAGCCTTTATCCTCATTATGGTGTCTTAATCTTGGCCTAGAAATGCCTTCGATGGAATGCGGATGCAAAAATATACTTGAAAACATTTTTCAAAACTTGCTGAAAACAGGGTCCACGCTCGAGCGTGGCTTTCCTCGCTCGAGCGGACATGCAAAACTTGAGGGTTCACTCGAGCGTAACTTCCTTCACTCAAGCGGTCTTTAAATTTTGAAAAAGTACTGGTTGCTTGCTTTTCACGCCCGATGGACGCTCGATCCTCGCTCGAGCGTGAGACTCAGACCCACGCTCGAGCGTGACTCTTGTTGCTCGAGCAATCTGCAAAAATTCATGAACTTCAGGGAGCTTGCATTTCACGCTCGAGTGGACTTATGGTCACTCGAGCGGAAGTGCATGCACTTAGAGTGGTCGCTCGAGCGTGGAAGCAGAATTCTGGAATTTCTAGATTTGCTTCCAAAGCTCAAAACTCAATCTTTAAGCATCAAGATTTGATTTTTCTAGACCCAAACTTAAGGAAATGCTTAGAAACTCATAAAACATCATGAATTAAGGATTATTTCATGAATTCATGGCCCCAAAGCTAATTATGCAAAAATTCAACTTAAAATTTATAAATGCACCATGAACATGACATGCATGAATTTTTTTGAGCTTAAGCTTCTCAAAACATGATCAAATGCTACAAAATAACATGAAACTTGATGATTTCCCAAAATTAAGGTGAATCCAAGACATGCATGAGGGAATTCTTGGAAATTAAACTCAAAATGTGAGAAAACATGCATGCATGCATGGTATGAGTTACTATTCTCAAATTTTAGCTTGATTCTCATGTTTAATCTTCTATTCTCTTGAATTCTTACACCAAGCAATTCAGATTCATAATTAAGGAATTAAATTTCCTACCTTAAGCCTTGAGTTAGCAAGTGTTGGAACTAAACTCCCTCAATTCTGTTCAATCTCCCATATTTCCTTCTTAATTCTCTTCCTCCTTAATGTTGACTTCAATCTCTCTCTCTCTCTCTTCTCTCTTTTCACACGTTAAGCTCAAAAATGAAAGAGGTAAAAAGGAGTCTTGGGCTTGGTAGTGGCCTTATATAGGCTAATTAGTGATAGTTCATTAAAGCTAATCAAATGGGCATTAAACTAATCCAATTTAATCGTTCCGAATTGAATTTTAATTAAACCTACCATAAAATTCTAAAAATTCCAATTAACACATAAATCAAGTCAATTTCTGAATCGGATACCGATAAGGCCTTCAATTCACAAACTGAAACAAAAACATGAACAGGTCTTCCTACGTTAAATAGATATAATCACAAATAATGCAGTACACATGTAATTAATTCAGAATTTGAACTCAAGAACTTATTAGGCATATTAAGTCGTGGATTAACGTTAAATATGGATCGGGGTCGTTACATGAATGCTACCTCATGATCGTACTTTTGTGATTCCAATATCTCGCTCAAAATTTTAGGTGTAGCAATCTGAGCACCAAAGTAAGCCTTTTCATCTTGAACCTCCGTTTGTACTCCAAATTCATTGAGTATTCCAACCATACTCCATTCCCTACGTGCTAAACTAGCAACAATCCCTCTATTCTTGCGACTTAGCACATCTGCCACCAAGTTAGCCTAGCCCGGATGATAAGAAAGGGTAAAATCATAATCCTCTAGATACTCCATCCAACGTCTCTGACACATGTTCAGGTCCCTTTGGGTGAACGAATACTTCAAGCTTTTGTGATCGGTGAATATCTCAAACTTTTCACCATACAGGTAGTGTCTCCAAATTTTGAGTGCGTAAGCTATAGCTGCTAACTCCAAGTCATGAGTGGGATAATTCTTTTCATGGTTCTTTAATTGCCTTGATCCATATGCCACCACCTTGCCATTTTGCATCAATACGCACCCCAGACCTTTTTTGGAAGCATCACAATACACATTGTACCCAACGTCACGTTCTAGTACTATAAGAATAGGGGCACTCGTCAATCTTTTCTTGAGTTCTTGGAATGAATTTTCACAAGACTTGTTCCATTCAAACTTTGCCCCTTTTTGAGTCAATTGTGTCATTGGTTTGGCCAATTTTGAGAAGTCTTGAATGAACCTTCGATAGTGACCGGCCCATCCTAAGAAACTACGAATCTCAAATGTGTTCTTAGGTTGTTTCCATTATGTCACTGCTCCTACTTTAGTTGGGTCTACTGATATTCCCTTTTCAAACACCATGTGACCGAAAAACTTTACTTCCTCCATCCAAAACTTACATTTACTAGCCTTAGCATACAGTTCGTTCTCTCTCAAAGTTTGAAGTACTATTCTCAATTGCTGCTCATGGTCTCCTTCAGACTTGGAATACACCAAAATATCATCTACGAAAACTACCACAAATTGATCTAAGTAAGGCGTGAATATTTTGTTCATTAAGCTCATGAACATGCCTGGCGCATTGGTTAGGCCGAATGGCATCACTACGAATTCATATTGGCCGTAACGGGTTTGAAACGCAGCCTTAAGAATATCTTCTTCCCGAACACGCAACTAGTGATACTCAAACCTGAGGTCTATCTTTGAGAAATACTTTTCCCCTCTAAGTTGATTGAAAATGTCATCAATCTTAGGTAATGGATATCGATTCTTAATGGTGACTCTATTGAGTTGTTGGCAATCAATACACAACCTAAGTGTCCCATCTTTCTTTTTAGCAAATAAGGCTGGTGCTCCCCACGGGGATGTGCTTGGCCTTATAAATTCCTTATCCAATAATTGTTGCAACTGTGTCTTTAGCTATCTCAATTCAGTTGGTGCCATACAATCTGCTGCCATTGAGATCGGTGATGTACCAGGTTGTAGTTCAATTGTAAAGTCTACTTCTCGCTTTGGGGGTAGTCCTGGTAGTTCCTCTCAGAATACATCAGCATACTCGCACACCACACAAGGTAGCCCTAGTTCCATACGTTCTTTGTCTTCCAAAACTAAGCTGGCTAGCCACCCAGCCAAGTGATCGTGCCACTTTGACCTTCGAAGTGTCGGTGATAGAGAATCTTGTCTATCCCCTTTAAATTGGAACCATGTTCCGTCATGAGAGTATGCAGTCACTGTCTTTCAATAGCAATCAATGGTGGCATTATGGGCTGATAACCAGTCCATTCCTATGATAACGTCAAAGTCTGACATTTCCATGACTCGTAGGTCGCAAGTTAAATTCAAACTGGAGACACCTAGTTCACATGATTTGCATACAAGTTAAACGCAAACTAGAGACTCCTAGTTCACATGATTTGCATACGAGATCTACCTGAGTCTGACCTCCTAGCGGTGAAGCTACACTCATAGGTGTTTCTAATCGTTCAATCTCTAATCCCAAAGTTGCAACACATGAAGCAGATATGAAAAAGTGTAATGCTCCAGAATCAAACAAGACTTGTACACAAGAGTTCATAAGGATGAGTATACCTTGAATCACCAAAGGATTTCCAGTGTCTTCTCCTTCTTGGAGTGCAAAGACTCTACCGGTGGCACCCTGATTTGGCACCCAAGGTTTCCTTGCATTGGCATCTCTTGGTTGTTGAGTCCTTGATTGTCCCACATTCCGATTAGCTGGCAGCTAACCTTTGCTGGATTGGGAATTTTACGCAGCTCGTGTTCCCTGAGTTGGCGCGCATTTGTTTCGTTGAGTGGCTTCCCCTTGATTGACATAGTAGCCGGACCTTTGAGGGAAATTGTTCCTAAAATGCCCTTCCTGGTCACATTCATAACACCTTCTAGCCCCTTTCCTACCACATTGTTTAGGATTGTATCCTTCTTGTTGTTGTGGCCCCCTAGCATAGGCTATCGAAGTAGCAGGGGTCCTATTGTTCCTTAAGGGTCCCCGTTTCTTTGTTGGTTGGCCTTAGACTACTGACCTTGAATCCTTGCAGCGTCCATCTTCTCTCTTTCGAGAGTAAGAGCCCTATCTACTACTTGTGCATAAGTAGGTAGCTGCACTGCAACCAACTTGTCTCGGATTCCCGAACCAAGTCCCCACTCAAAGCACCTTACTTTGTCTGTTTCATTTGCCACTATAGCTATGGCATGGCGAGAAAGGGCCTCAAATCGGTTGGCATACTGTGTCACAGTCATGCCTCTTTGTTTTAGTTGGAGAAATTCTTGGATCATTTCTTGCCTTACTGAGTTTGGGAAGTACTTTTCCATAAACAATTTCTCGAACTGTCTCCAAGATAGTTCTGCCACTTGACAACTTTCCTTAATCATTGTCCACCATAACTCGACCTCCCCGTCGAAGAGAAATGAAGCGAGGGACACTTGGTCTTGCTCGTTTTGAATATCTAGCGTCTCCAATATTTTCTTCACTTGCCTTATCTATGCCTCAGCCATGTAGGGATTGGGTTCTCCGAAAAATTTTTGGGGCTTGAGTTTTTGAAATTTCGTTATTAATTCTGCTTTGTTGTTTTCACGCCTGGGTTGGTTTCTTAGTTCATTAGTAATTTCCCAAACAAAATTCATTATGTCACTGTTGTTGTTGTCGTCGTTGTTGTTGTCATTGGATCCATTTGCTCTAGTTCTTCCAGCCATTTTCTGTACAAAGGATATTATTGTTACACCCTTTATTTATTTATTTATGTATTTATTTATTTATTTATTTATTTATTATATTATAGATAAAATGCAAGTAAAATAGTCCAACACACAAACTTTTAAATGCTAGGATTTCATTAATGATAATAAAAGATCAGTACATTCATAAAAGAAAAAAAAAATTCATTCTACCCCTTCCTATCTCATTGTGGTATTCTTACCAAAACCCTAAGTTAGAAACTAGGACTATTACAATTAAGTGCTGCAAATTTGTTGTTGTCCTAACTTCTACACTTGTTATTCCCTAACCAAGCAAATGGGCACAACGTTGACGCACTGTCTCCTCTAACTCCCATGTCTCATTGGGTAGCCCATAACACTCCCAGCGGACAAGGACCATCCGCACCCCATTCTGACCCACCATTCGTCTAATCAGGCAAGTAGGGATCTCGTGATATGAGGAAGCTCTATAAAAATTCACCAATGGGTCTAGGGTTCAAACAACATGACCGAAAGGAGGTTGGGTAGTCTGGACATCCTAGAGTAGAAATGCATCACCCTTGTTGGCGACGTACTGCGATGGTAAGTTCCATACCCGATAGAAAATGTTGTCTAGATATTTTCTTATCTGAACAGGCCCGATAAACATATCCCTTCTAGGCGAGCTCCTTCAATAGCACAACCTAGTTAGGGTAACCCTCACAAATACTACCTTTCCATATGGTAGGACAGGTAGCACCATCATGTGTCTCAAGGCCGCCTTAGGGCCGTCATCTATCAAGGATTCAGGATCAGACTCCTCTATTTCCTGATCCGAGTCAGACTCAGGATCAGAATCACCCTCAACTCCTACTTCCAATTCTTCTTCCAAGTTCTCTTCTAGCTCTTCTTATGGGTCCTCCTCTGGATCCTCCTTTGGATCCTCCTCCTAGTCAATAGGCTTATCTAACATCTCAGGTTCTTCCTCCAACCATCCATTTTAATTTTCGTTTTCCATCTACAATAATCAAAATTTTACTCAGTAACTAAAAATACTCACTATAACCACTAATAAGTTATTTAACAAGAAAGCTTAGGGTTCTTCAAGGTCGTAGGGCATTTTGTTATGAGGTTAACATGTAATACTTATGTCTTGGAATTCTAATGAATGAAAGGAATGCGGTTAGTTTAAATGTAAATGTATGTCTTATTTGATGGGTTTATTGTTATTATTTTGAGGGCGTTACATAATGGGTTTGAAACGTAGCCTTAAGAATATCTTCTTCCCGAACACGCAACTAGTGATACCCAAACCTGAGGTCTATCTTTGAGAAATACTTTTCCCCTCTAAGTTGATTGAAAAGGTCATCAATCTTAGGTAATGGATATCGATTCTTAATGGTGACTCTATTGAGTTGTTGGCAATCAATACACAACCTAAGTGTCCCATCTTTCTTTTTAGCAAATAAGGCTGGTGCTCCCCACGGGGATGTGCTTGGCCTTATAAATTCCTTATCCAATAATTGTTGCAACTGTGTCTTTAGCTATCTCAATTCAGTTGGTGCCATACAATCTGCTGCCATTGAGATCGGTGATGTACCAGGTTGTAGTTCAATTATAAAGTCTACTTCTCGCTTTGGGGGTAGTCCTGGTAGTTCCTCTCGGAATACATCAGCATACTCGCACACCACACGAGGTAGCCCTAGTTCCATACGTTCTTTGTCTTCCAAAACTAAGCTGGCTAGCCACCCAGCCAAGTGATCGTACCACTTTGACCTTCGAAGTGTCGGTGATAGAGAATCTTGTCTATCCCCCTTAAATTGGAACCATGTTCCGTCATGAGAGTATGCAGTCACTGTCTTTCAATAGCAATCAATGGTGGCATTATGGGCTGATAACCAGTCCATTCCTAGGATAACGTCAAAGTCTGACATTTCCATGACTCGTAGGTCGCAAGTTAAATTCAAACTGGAGACACCTAGTTCACATGATTTGCATACAAGATCTACTGGAGTCTGACCTCCTAGCGATGAAGCTACACTCATAAGTGTTTCTAATCGTTCAGGCTCTAATCCTAAAGTTACAACACATGAAGCAGATATGAAAGAGTAGGGGTGAGCAGCGGATATACCGATCCGCCAAAACCAACCGAACCAAACCGATCCAAGGATTTCCAGTGTCTTCTCCTTCTTGGAGTGCAAAGACTCTACCGGTGGCACCCTGATTTGGCACCCAAGGTTTCCTTGCATTGGCATCTCTTGGTTGTTGAGTCCTTGATTGTCCCACATTCTGATTAGCTGGCGGCTAACCTCTGCTGGATTGGGAATTTTACGCAGCTCGTGTTCCCTGAGTTGGCGCGCATTTGTTTCGTTCAGTGGCTTCCCCTTGATTGATATAGTAGCCGGACCTTTGAGGGAAATTGTTCCTAAAATGCCCTTCCTGGCCACATTCATAACACCTTCTAGCCCCTTCCCTACCACGTTGTTTAGGATTGTATCCTTCTTGTTGTTGTGGCCCCCTAGCATAGGCTATCGAAGTAGCAGGGGTCCTATTGTTCCTTAAGGGTCCTCCGTTTCTTTGTTGGTTGGCCTTAGACTACTGACCTTGAATCCTTGCAGCGTCCATCTTCTCTCTTTCAAGAGTAAGAGCCCTATCTACTACTTGTGCATAAGTAGGTAGCTGCACTCCAACCAACTTGTCTCGGATTCCCGAACCAAGTCCCCACTCAAAGCACCTTACTTTGTCTGTTTCATTTCCCCCTATAGCTATGGCATGGCGAGAAAGGGCCTCAAATCGGTTGGCATACTGTGTCACAGTCATGCCTCTTTGTTTTAGTTGGAGAAATTCTTCGATCATTTCTTGCCTTACTGAGTTTGGGAAGTACTTTTCCATAAACAATTTCTCGAACTGTCTCCAAGATAGTTCTGCCACTTGACAACTTTCCTTAATCATTGTCCACCATAACTCGACCTCCCCGTCGAAGAGAAATGAAGCGAGGGACACTTGGTCTTGCTCGTTTTGAATATCTAGCGTCTCCAATATTTTCTTCACTTGCCTTATCTATGCCTCAGCCATGTAGGGATTGGGTTCTCCGAAAAATTTTTGGGGCTTGAGTTTTTGAAATTTCGTTATTAATTCTGCTTTGTTGTTTTCACGCCTGGGTTGGTTTCTTAGTTCATTAGTAATTTCCCAAACAAAATTCATTATGTCACTGTTGTTGTTGTCGTCGTTGTTGTTGTCATTGGATCCATTTGCTCTAGTTCTTCCAGCCATTTTCTGTACAAAGGATATTATTGTTACACCCTTTATTTATTTATTTATGTATTTATTTATTATATATATTATAGATAAAATGCAAGTAAAATAGTCCAACACACAAACTTTTAAATGCTAGGATTTCATTAATGATAATAAAAGATCAGTACATTCATAAAAGAAAAAAAAAAATTCATTCTACCCCTTCCTATCTCATTGTGGTATTCTTACCAAAAACCCTAAGTTAGAAACTAGGACTATTACAATTAAGTGCTGCAAATTTGTTGTTGTCCTAACTTCTACACTTGTTATTCCCTAACCAAGCAAATGGGCACAACGTTGATGCACTGTCTCCTCTAACTCCCATGTCTCATTGGGTAGCGCATAACACTCCCAGCGGACAAGGACCATCCGCACCCCATTCTGACCCACCATTCGTCTAATCAGGCAAGTAGGGATCTCGTGATATGTGGAAGCTCTATAAAAATTCACGAATGGGTCTAGGGTTCAAACAACATGACCGAAAGGAGGTTGGGTAGTCTGGACATCCTAGAGTAGAAATGCATCACCCTTGTTGGCGACGTACAGCGATGGTAAGTTCCATACTCGATAGAAAATGTTGTCCAGATATTTTCTTATCTGAATAGGCCCGATAAACATATCCCTTCTAGGCGAGCTCCTTCAATAGCATAACCTAGTTAGGGTAACCCTCACAAATACTACCTTTCCATATGGTAGGACAGGTAGCACCATCATGTGTCTCAAGGCCGCCTTAGGGCCGTCCTCTATCAAGGATTCAGGATCAGACTCCTCCATTTCCTGATCCGAGTCAGACTCAGGATCAGAATCACCCTCAACTCCTACTTCCAATTCTTCTTCCAAGTTCTCTTCTAGCTATTCTTCTGGGTCCTCCTCTGGATCCTCCTCCTAGTCAATAGGCTTATCTAACATCTCAGGTTCTTCCTCCAAACATCCATTTTAATTTTCGTTTTCCATCTACAATAATCAAAATTTTACTCAGTAACTAAAAATACTCACTATTACCACTAATAAGTTATTTAACAAGAAAGCTTAGGGTTCTTCAAGGTCTCAAGGGTTTCTCAACCTAAGCTCTGATATCATGTTGTGACGCCCCAAAATTTAAGGACATCGTTATAAGATTTAGAACTTAAAATCAATATTGCCACCAATATCACTAACATCCATTAATTAACAACCCAATTTAAAGTTCTTAAATTACAACTTAGTATTAGTACATAAAAAAAATAACACAAATATAAAAAGAAAACTAGAGGAAAGCTAGAAAATTTAAAAAATAGTTCATGGAATTTGGGTACTCTTCAAGCTAACCAAGGTTGAATGTCGCCTTGCAAGGCCTCGGTGTTCCTTTTGGTTTCTTCGGTACCTAGCATAAAACGCCAGGGCAACAGGAATGGGAATGC